CAAGCAATTAACACATATCCTCTGCAAGTGAAAAAAAAAAAAGCCATTTGACTGATGACCTGACATCTGAAGCAGACAGAAGTCATCATTAACAGACTGGCCCTTTTCTGACTGCCTATAGTAATTGCCAACTGACCAGACTGACTGACAGACCGAACTGACGTCTGGGACACACACCGTTCACGGTTGGCATTTGCAGAACTGACTGGCAATCATGTGAGGTCAGGATACGTCAATAGCATTCCTGTCTTCAGATTCGAACGGACTCAGAGAGGGTCAGCACCAACCAAGGACAACTGACGACCAGTCATGATCTTAGACTGCATGCGGACTGACGCTGATGGGCTCTGACAGACACTGACAGGGTCTGACGTCGAGCAAGGAAATTCACGGAACGAAATCACTTGAGCAAGCCTAGATTGAAGATGTCTGGCTGGTCAACCGTTTACCAGCCACTGCAGCAGATCCCTGTAGAGCAATCTGACATCCGCGTCAGACCTGCAGCGAATATTCCCCGGAGTCTTCTAATCAACAGCCTGTCGAAGGACCCTCAGCAGCGGCCCAAGCGGTTATCCCCTGCTGTCTGCGGGCAAGGTTCGCGACTTGAGGGTCACCCGACAACTCAGGTCTACCATGCCACTTAGGGTTGACGCACCGGTCAAATCCCCTATCGCCGGTTGAAACTTCACACGATCGTGTCCGCCACTCCTCTTTTTTTCTTTTTTTCTTTTTTTCTTTTTTTTTTCTTTTTTTGATTGCGGTAATTCTCCCCTTGCACACCACCTTTCACCACCTCTCACCAACGATGTATAATGAAGAAAGCGGACGACACGTCCCTTCTCCAACCGCCGCTCAGAAAGGAGGTTGCCACTCAATTGCTCGCCGGTGGCACACGGTCGCAGCTCCGATACCAACTGTTATGTGCCCGATTGAACTTCAATCCACAACGAGTTCACACGTCCCAACTTCCCATACACGCATGCAATTGCAGAGTAGACTCGAAGGAGGCAGATTCACACAAAACCAGAGAGAAGATATGCACAGCGGAAGCTCAAAACACATAGAGAATTGGAAAACGAATTTCAATGCTGCAATCCCTCGCACTCCTCCAATCATTCCTGAGTACTTGTTCCAAGAATCACAACCATGTTACAACAACCCCGAACAACCAGAAATAACTGTTCAACGAAATATACAGGAGTCTTCTTCTTCGTCCTCGCCACCTCATTTCCCAGGCTATGGTTGCCGTAGCAGCAGTAACCCCACAGCTGTCACAACGTGCCAATCTGAACCAGCAGCCCTAAGGATAACAGCGCCAGATCAGCACCCGCACGGACGTGCAGGGCAGGAATTCCTGATGAAGAAGGAGAACCATTCCAACACTTCGAAGAAGATGGAGTTCCTCGTGAGGAGGAACAGCAGATATGGCTGCCAAGTGGAAAGTGGCAGCGCCCAAACCCAACAACACAGTCCTGTGGAAGCTCTCATGCAAAGCTGCGAAACAGCAGCAGTGCAGTCTTCAACGTCCTTTCCCAACCCCAGTTATGGCTGGGCTTCGAAGAAGAAGATGACCTCGCCCAAAATAGCGCAGCAGCGCTCCAACAACGGACGGGCAGAGTTTCCCCAGTCAACGAAAAAGCAAAAGACCCGCACTAATTTTCCTGCCCACTATTTCTATTCTCCGCCTAGACCTACGACGGCCTCCCCAAAGCAACAACCTACGACCTATCTGTATCTAGATGGAAACAGGGGAAGAGGGGCCTAGACCTATGACAAAGCAAAAGAAACAGGCCGAATGGTCTAAGACTACCAAACAGAGACTACTAGTGATAGACGCAGGGATCAAGCCCCATAGGGCACAACACTCACAAACAAAACACACAGGTTACAGGTCAGGGGATCAAGTGCCACAAGGTTCAAAACACACAAACAACAAACAAACAGGCAATACAACAGACAAGGTTGCGGGATCAAATCCCAGCATCGACAACAGGGACACATATAGTATACAGCCCGCTTGTAGCACAGCAATTCATTGCATCAAAGTGGGCTGAGACGGAGTTAGAGCAGCCATCGCTGCTTATAGTTCGTCGTAGCTGGCGGCCATAGCCGCCATAGTTAGCAATAGGCAGTACCGAAAGTGTGTGTGTGTGTGTGTGTGTGTGATACAGAGTGTGTGTGCGTGGTATATCCAGGGAGATCCAGAGTCTGAGTGCATGTGAACGGGTGTTGTGAATACAGTGCCGGACAGAGGTTGCGTGGGCGCTCAGGCGCCATAGCTAGTTGGAAGCGAGTTGGTATCCGAACTGTGTTCTTGACTTGAATATCTCTGAGCTTTGTGTGGGCGCACAGCGCCAGTGTGGATTTCCATCTGTTTGCATGTGTGCGAAGTGAGAAGAAAGCTAGTGCAAGGAACATGAGTATGGACGAAGCACAGAAATCCAGAATGCAAAATGACACTGAAGTCCAAGTAGTCAAAGCCAAAGCAGATAGCACATGGAACCGAGTAACTATCCAATTGAGAATGATACAGAAGAATCGTGAGTCAATGTCCATGCCCAACAGGGCAACACCAACAGCATAACCCAAATGTAGCTCTCTCTTGTGAATGGCACCAGGCGCCCTATCTACTCTACAGCCTATCCTACAACTACAGCAATGAAAAGCAACCAGACAACTTGACTACCAGCGAGTGATGATGTCAACACCAATGTCGACCTCCACCTTCACCAGGTACGTGTCCTCTTCCCCACACTCTCCCTTGTTACCCACACAGCACCCTTCACCTCCGAAGACCACCTTCACCCTTCACTTCTCTGCACCCTCATGCGGCCTAGCGCTGGCCTGCTTTACCTTAGCGCAGCACTGCTTTGCACAGTGGAGCACACATGCATCCGCGCAGCGTGCCCGCAATGCCAGCATTGGCCAAGATCTCTGCTCCCTCGCCCTGCTTGCCTATATGCCAATGCAGCGTGTGGGCGGCCTCCCTTCAGCCTGTGACCGGGACCCAGAGGCTGAAACCAACTCGATACAGTTGGGCCCCGGGGCAATGCAGTTGCGCCTCTTTCATCAAGGCCTGTGGCCAGATTCAGATAGTGGCCCGATTGCCCTTTGGCATTTTCGGCCTCTCTACCCAGCATGCACTGTCGGCCTCACGTTCGAGTGCCCAGGGCCTAACCAACTCAGAGGCCCTGGGCTTTCAGCATTTGCTGAAATCCGAGACTCGGTGCACACCAACCAACTGGCATGCTGCAACTGTATGAACCCCACTTCGTGAAATGTTGGCACAGAGGGCTCTTGTTGATTTGCTAGCCCGCCTTCACTTAGGGCGGGCACGAGGCTTGCTGGGGCCTTGGCCCAGAACATGTACATCATGGCAAGGCCCCTACTTGAGGGCTCAATCCTCACACTAGTCTGATTTCACGGTTGCGAATAGGGAAAAAAAAAAGAAAAAAAAAAAGAGAATTACACGAGTGAAAACATAGTAAAAGAAACAAGATATCGCCTCCTTTTCGTTCCATTTGATGCCATGTTTCCCAGCACTTCAGTTTTTGTTCATTCAGTACCGGTACCACCCTAAATTTGCCAAGTGGTGGTACCGAGCGCTTTCAGGCCCGTCAAAATGAATTTTTCGGTTCGTCAAAATAGATACGGGTGAACTGGTGGTTTAAATTGTTTGGGATGCATGTGCCATCATTTTGTTGTTCCGGTTTTCGGGAAAAAAAATCCAGGCTTTGTTTTGTTTTGTTTTGTGTTTTTTGACTTGTGGTGCTCCTTTTGGTCCTCCGGCAGTTTCTGGTCTGCGCGTGCTCATTTATTCTGTCATGATTGCCAACGACCGCTTGGGTTGGTTAAATGATCAATCAATCGGTCAGCTGGTTGGGTGTCTGGGCTTGTTGTGGCAATGAAATGGATGCATGGGTGGGCGGGCGGGCGGGCGGCAACAGACACATCTACAGGAACGGATTGATGTGCCTCACAGGTGATTCCCGCGGCGCGATCAAGGTATGGGATTTTCGCAAGGGTGCCTGCTGCCTTGAGACTCTGTATAATGAAGATGGCCATAAACCGATATCTTGGATGGAAGCTTCGCATCCGGTTGTTGGTAAGAAGAAGAAGCATGGAGGTGGAAGCATCCAACTCTTTCTTTTTTGATCCTGCTCCCCCATTTCTTCAACTGTCTCCAACCGTCAGTGTTTATCCCTTTCTTTCTTTTTACTAAAGGGAGAAGCCCCTAGCAGTTGCATCCGTTTCTTCTTTCCTGGACTGGGTTCGAACTTTGAACCGTTGACCTGTTTAGAAACAGTTTCATGCGTGCATCCTTCAGCCACATTGGTCTGGTTTTGTCAGTTTTGCATCTCTTCGTTTTCTTGTTCTTTCTATTTTAGTGCGTTTGTTTCTTTGTGCAGGGGCCACATTAATCCCTTATACTTCCTGATTTAATGTATGTCTCTTGAAGTGCATCAGTTTTGCCTACTGATTGGTAGTTTGGTACCCTCCTGCCTGTTTGGTATATCTCAACGGCTCTCACCCGCTGAATAATCATTTCAGGACTATTCAGATGCATATGCTTCATCATGTTGCAAGGAATATGAGCGAGAGCGATAGACAGATGAGAGGGTTTCATCCAGTTCGCACAATATTGCAGACACCAAGACTCGATCCGCGTACCTTCCCCAGCCCACTGTACAGTCGCCCATTGAGCCTGTGCGTTTTGAACCCGCAACCTGTCCCTAAAACCATGTATAAACGTTTTGTGTATGTAGCTTGGGTCGTGTGGACTTGAACCATAGACCTGTCTATTAGCCAGTCTTCGGGTCAGTCCGTAGGTCTAGCCCTACGTTTCTCGAAAGGTCAGTCAGCCGTAGTCTAGACAGTTCCAGAAGAGTCAACTTGACCTTTCGAAGTGCCAGGAGGCAGTCCGTCGATTTCTGAAAGGTCCAGAGTCCCAAGTCAGACACCGAAGGGGCAAACGAAGGGGCAGTCCCAGTCTAGTCTGTTTTTGCAGCAAGTACCAGAGTGGGACTGCATATCTTGAGGGCCTGGGACGTCGGCAGGTCCAGACCACCAAACGAAACAGTATAAATAAAGAGGCAGCGATCAGTCAGTTACTCATTATCTGGAGAACTCACGTGGAAGCGCTGCTCGAGTGACTTGTGTGTTGTATCCAGGTGGTCAGCCAGTGCCTGAAGGTGGAAGAGGGCGAGCGGCCATAGCTGCTAGTAGGAGGAAGACGATGGCAGCCATAGCCGCCAGTGTAGTAGATAGGATTTGTGTGTGTGCGCATACATTCAGGGTAGATCCTAGCATGTGTGTACGTGTGTGCGAGTGAGTGGAGTGTGTCTGATGGTGGATACAGTGTACAGGTGGGAGTATCAGACTGACGCTCAGGCGCCATAGTCACAAGATGTGACAAGTTGATTTGAGCTGAGCTCCTGGCAGAAGGCCATAACTCTGAGATTTCTGTGTGGCCGCCCTGCGCCATCTCACTCTCGTTGCTGATCCTTATGTGGGGAAGTTGTTCTGCCATTGGCACCTACATGTATGCACGTTGAAAGTGAAGTTGAAGTCAAGTCTGATTGCACAGAAATCCATGTTGCAAAATCAGGAAGTGGCTCAGATAGTCATGAACCAAGCAGAGAGTGCAATGCACCAAGATGCCGTCCAGATAAGAGCAATACGATGAACTCGAATGTCAATGTCCCCACTTTCTGGTCACACCAACACTGTATCCAATGTCGCACTTACTGTCTGGCGCCCAGCGCCCAGCCTATCCTACTCAGGCTATCTAGCCTATCTACATCTACGTTCTCGCAACTGGATCACTCTGAAGTCGAAGACCAATGTACGTGACGTCAACACCAATGCCGATCACCAGCATACACCAGGTACATTCTCTCTCCTCTCGTCATCACCCCTCGTCTACCCGAAGACCACCTTCGCCATCACCTGCCTTGCGACCCTGCAGCGCGGCTATGGCTGCTGTGCGGCCGCTGCCCTTACAGCGCCCATGCGCGCATCCGACCAGCAAGCACACGCAGACACTAGCTCAGCAGGGCAGCAGCGTGTCCGCATTGCCTGCTAAGGCCAGAATGCCGCTGCCTGGGCTGGCCTCTGTCCGTTATGGAAAGTGCAGCCCCGTCTGTGTCTGCGTGGACCTGGCTGGGGAAGTTTCCAGTAGCTTCCAGTCGGGCCCCAGTGTCTGCGCCCAGGCCCACCTGTACAGTTAAGGGCCTGGGCCCTTTTTGGTTGGGCACAGACAGGTAGCCTTCCAGGCTTCAAGTGTTGGCCGCATTCTCATTGGCTTGCGGAGATTGTATGATGACAATGCTGCTTTCTCATTCGTCCGTGGCCGCTGCGTGATGTGTCGGCCTCACACTGTGTGTGCCCAGGGCGCAACCACCAGGGCGTGGGCTCAACTGTACAGTGCAGCCCTTGTTGCTGGAAAGAGCCTGGAGGCTCACGTTTCCCTGTAACCAACTGGTGTGCTGCAACTGTCCGAGTACCAACGTATGGAAAATGTCGAACATAGGCCTCTTGAGGATATTCAGGCCCGCCTTCACTTAGGGCGGGCACAATGCTTGCTGGGGCCCACAGCTGAGAACAATTGCATGTCTGTTGGGGTCCCGTGAGGACTCAGTCCGCGCAGTGTTATATCCCCACTGTATATTCTATAGCGGTTAACTTGTTTATCATGTACTTTTTTAAAGTTTTTTTCCTTTTCTTTTTCGTTTTCCAAAAAACAGAACCGCAGCTTGCGGTTCTGACTCCTTTCCATTCTGGGGAGCGTCACTCCAGATCCTTTTCCACCGGCAAGTCAATTTACAACAATTACGCGCACACGCCCCTCCCCATTATGGTTGAGAGGTCCGAGCGGCATGGAAAGGATGTACCACCCCTCACCCCTGCCTAAGTTAGCCTAGCTGCTACAATTCTGAGACAGATCCCAATTTATCTGTTTGTTTGTTTGTTTGTTTGTTTGTTTGTTTGTTTGTTTGTTTGTTTGTTTGTTTTACCATATGGTCGATATTGCAGAACCGAGGGGTCCGGCTCACGCCTGCTCCTCTCAGCCTCGAAGCTGTTGGTAGTCTTAGCGAGAGCAGTTGAGGATTGCGTGTTTTTCGTGTCGGCGGCGGCGCTCTGCTGCTTCAGTTGGAGTTCAGGCTGATGTCGGGTTGGCGGGTCTGGTTCGTTTCCTGTGGGGCTTCCCCTCCTTGATCCTGTTGGCGACCAGGCTCAGGATCGAGTCTCCATCTGAGTGTCATGTACTTATTCGGTTCTTAAGACTATTTCTCTTTCAGTGTTTCGATGGAACTGGATGGAACTGGACGGAACTGGATGAAACTGGAGAGAACTGGAGAGAACTGGACAGAACTGGATGGAACTGGACGGAACTGGACGGAACTGGATGAAACTGGATGGAACTGGATAGAACTGGACGGAACTGGACGGAGCTGGATGGAACTGGATGGAACTGGATGGAACTGGACTGGGTGTGGTGTGTGGGCTGGACTGGGCTGTATTATGTGGGCCGGGTGATACCATGTAGGGTTTGTCAAACCACGTGGACTGGCACCAAAACACACATGGCCAGAGAAAGAAAAAAGAAACAGAAAAGAAATAAGCACAGATGACCCCAAAACACACACAATCAGTTTTATGTACGTCAGTCTTTATGTTGTTGTTTGTTTTTTCTTCAATTTTTTGTTTACCCAACTGAGCACCCTTAAGCAGTGCCAAATAGTCGGGCATCCTTGTTCGCCTGCAACACTCTTAGGGGGGCGCTCAGTTCCGGATGTCTGTGTTTCCTGTGGGGGATGACGGATGTTTGGCTGAGTGACTCCCTGGCTCAAAGGGTGGTAGGAACCAACAGTCTGTGGGGTTCACCCGTGATGTGAGTAGGTGATGTGCCACTTTGCTCCGTGTTGGATGTGTGGACTGCCTTGTCTGTGGTCCGCCGCTGCCTTGCTGCCCGTCCCGCTTGCTTCGCAAGTGCTGTGTTTGCTGTGTGGTGTGGCTGTGTTGTTGGTGTTGCCTTGCGCTTTGCTAATCCGCTGCCTTGCCGCCCATCCGCAAAGCCTTGCGTTTCGTGTCCTTTGCTTGCATGTCGTGTAGTTTGGTTGCCTTGTGCTTCACTGCACGGTCACTGGGCTGCTCATCGATTCCGTTTGCCCTGTCCTTTCTTGCAGTTGTCTTCGGTGCTGTGCAGTTGGGTTGCTCCAGTAGCGTTGTCTGGTGCTTCACTGATTTGTTGCCTGCTGCTATGTGTGTGGCTGCCTTGTTGATGTTGCCTTGTGCCTCACTGCGTGGCTGCAGCGCTATGCCTCCGCTTGCCGTGTTGTTCCTTGCAGTAGTCTTTGGCGTTGAACAGCTGTGTTGCCTATGCAGCATTGCCTGGTGCTTCGCTGGGTTGCTGCCCGCTGTTTGGGGACAGTCTACCTTCAACAAGGGTCAAAGGGTTCATGACGCAAACCATCAAATACAGAGATTCCGCAGATTGACAAGGGTTCACCCTCCTGATGAATTTCTTTCGGTCTTTGCGTTTTTTGCATGGCTACGATCCGGACGTCCGGACCGCCGTCCAGACGGTCTGGATTCAGTCCGGACTCCAGACGTCCGGTCTGGAAGGTCCGGATCTGCCAAAATTCGAAAAAAAAAACAAAAAAAAAAACGGTCCAGGACCCTTCGCCATTGAGGAGCCAAGCCCCCAAAATTGTTTTGGGGGGTTTTCAGGCCCGTTTATGCTTTTTGGGGGGGTCCGGACATGCTCTCTCTCTATAATAATTTATTAGACAACCCCAATTTTTTAATTATTAATAATTCATTACCTCTTATTAGTTTTTAAAGTCTTTTTTAAAGCTTTTTTATAGTTTTTGTCACTTTTTGACTTGTAACTCAAGTTTGGTTAGGAATTCTGACATGACTCTGAGGCATAAGTGGTTTGAATTGTTATTCTGCATAGCATACTTTTTTTTCAGATTTTTTTATTTAGTTATTTTTTTTAATGGTCCGGACATTTCCGGACCTGTCCAGACATCCGGACCGTCCGGACCCCCCATGTCCGGAGGTCCGGAAATCTACCGGACACAGGTCCGGTTCCATGTC